AAGGTTAGATATTGTGAGAAATAAGTTCCAAATGTGTGCATATCGGACCTTCGATATTATAAACTCCGCATCCTACTCCCGATGTCGACAGCACCAGTGACAAACGACTGCAGGCTCTTTCTTCAGATATGTTCGGAAGTAACACAGTGCAATCTTCCTGGGCAAATCCTCAACAGAATCAGAGCCAACCGCAGAGTTCTGGTTTTGGTCAACCTAGCGGCTTCGGACCCGGAACAGGTAAGCAAGTCATTTGCCTGTACAGCGTTTTACGCACCTGTTAATCGCCGAACAGGCTTTGGATCAACAGGTGCTTTTGGTCAGCCCCAGCAGCCACAAGCCAATCCAATGTTTGGCAACTTGGCGAACCCAAGCACGGGAACTTCAGCATTTGGTGTGTCCTGTCACGTTTATTGTATCCCTCATGACTGAATCACACTCGATGCAGGCGCATTTGGCCAGAATCCACCACAACCAGCTGCGGGTACCTCAGCATTCGGAGCTCCAAAGCCTGCCACGGGCTTATTTGGAGGGGGAGGCACCTCAGCTTTCGGAAGTGGCAGTAACACTTTTAGCTCAACAGCTGGGACGGGGCCCACGGTTTTCGGATCCAATCCCAACACTGGGGGTGCGTTTGGTTCTTTTGGACAGAATAGAGCCACCACTGGCTTTGGTGGTACCTCTCCAAGTAAGTGCTCTTTTCTTTTTATGAAATTATCCAAAGGAGCTGACGATTGTCTTCAGCCACTGGCAATGACACCACTGCGCCTGTCACAACAGGCACATCGAATCCCCCCTACAACTCCTTCAGTGAAAAGGATCCGACGTCAACATCTACCCTGCAATATCAAACAATAACGGCTATGCCCGCCTATCGAGGGACTTCGCTTGAGGCGAGTGATTGCCACCTCCAGATATTAATCCCTCGCTTAACGGTCTTGAAATCTTACTTAGGAGCTTCGTTATCAAGATTATCAACAGGGACGGAAGACTGCAGGGGCATTCGGTCAGCCGTCCTTTAGTGGCACAGCAACTACCCAACCAACGAATTTATTCGGAGGTGCCCCTGCGCAACCTGCCACCACATCCATATTCGGCGGCAGCGCCGGCGCGGGGACAGCGTTCGGAAGCACGGGAACACCAGCAGGCAATCCTAGTACCGGCTTTGGAGCTTTCGCGCAACCCCAGCCCGCGCAACCGGCGACAGGTACTGGAACGGGAATATTTGGGTCAGCCTTTGGTCCACCTCAACAGCAACAGCAACAACAACAGCAACAACCTTCAACCTTTGGTTCCTTCGGGCAGCCACAGCAGCCAGCCACAACTGGGACCAGTATCTTTGGTTCCGGTGGTACATTTGGGCAGCAGAACAAGCCCGCCACTGGCTTCGGGAGTGGTACCTTCGGGTCAACAAGTAGAAATCTTTCCGCTACCGATCTCGTACCTTCTAACATTCTACAACAGCAGGCGGCGCGTTCGGTTCTACAGGAACCTTTGGACAACCAGCCAGCCAGCCTACTGCAGGTACCACAGGCATTTTTGGTCAACCCCAACAGCAGCAGCAACCTGCAACTGGGAGCACATTCGGTGGTTTTGGTACATTACAGCGTTCATATTCTATGAACTATACTAACTTTGTCGCTGTAAGGTTCGAACACGACTGCTGCCAAGCCGTCGATTTTCGGTCCACCTGTTCAGAGTGGCACAACGTCTACTGGCTTTAGCACGTTTGGCAATCAGCAGCAGCAGCAACCCCAGCAGCAACCCCAGCAGCCGCAAGCGGGTAGTATATTCGGGAATACGGGCGGTGGCCTGTTTGGCCAGACCCAACAGCAGCAACAGCAACCTCAACAGACTGGGTGTAGGTTTTTTTTTCCTCCAGCAGTTCATCATAGTGATCTTTTTCACAAATAGTATTTGGTTCCGCCCCAGCTCAACCTCCAGGTGGCCTATTTGGAGGTTCGACGGGTGGAGGTTTATTTGGGAATGTCCCACAAAATCAACAGCAGGCCCAACAGCCTGCTCAACAGGGTGGGCTTTTTGGGACCAAACCGGCCACTGGCGGGGGTTTATTTGGAAATACGTTTGGTCAGACGGGAACGACGGGAACAATAGGCTCGCAACCCCAAACGAATCTTTTCGGGCAGCCTACGGGTCAAACAACGAACCAGCAATCAGCAGCTGGCACGAACGCGTTGGGCACATCTTTATTTGGCCCCAAACCCGCTGCACCTGGTCTTGGCACCTCAATATCAACGGGTAGCTCCTTATTTGGAAATGGACAATCATTGTCTAGTCTAAACTCCTCTGCTACTGTTCCTGGACCACAGGGAACTCTGTTCGCCTCCATTGCTGAACCTCTTTCTCAGAATCTGCCAATTTTCTCGATGCTCCCTCCTGGCCCGCGTGCTGTAGACCTTGACCAACAACCCAAAAAGAAACCCGGCTTTTTCGTCGATGTTCCTACACGTTCGCCTGTTCCATATCTGCAGCTCGGCTATACCCCCGCTAATTCGAAGCTGCGAGGCTTTGCAACATCAACGTCGGGGACTGCGCTCGGGTCCAGCACGAGTCCCTTCGCCACGTCATTGACGAATGGGAAATCCAATGCGTTGGCACTTAGTCGCCTCGATGGGAAGGGTCCTGATGGATTGTTGGGGCGAAGCTCCACACCATCTCTAGGAAGTGGGGGACGTCAGAGCGTGAAGAAATTGATACTGGACAAGAAAGTTGAGCCCGCAGACCTTTTCAGTCAATCTGGTTCGCGCGCTAGTCCCAGCAGAGTAACGTTCAGCCCTGCCCTTGGTCAGGCTGCACGCGAAAAGGAAGTTGCAAGAGAGAAAGAAGCCGCCGTCAGTGCAACACCTGCTGCTCCTCAAGTGGAGACTCCGACGCCTATCACTCGCAAAGTTCCTGGTCGCTTTTCTGCACAGAGCACCACCAATGTGTTGGGCTCCCAATCGGCCTCACCTGAAAAAGAGCCTCAAGCACCAGCAGCATTGCAGCATGGTAGCTACTGGGTGAAGCCCGACCTCCCGACCCTCGTCAACCTTGGTTATGAGGACCTAGTGGCATTCAAGGACCTCATCGTTGGGCGTGTCGGCTATGGCGAGATCCAATTCCTGGAGCCAGTCGACCTCACTAATCTTCCAAGACTTGGCGCTCTCCTAGGCGAGATTGTCAAGTTTGATGATAAAGAGTGCAGCGTTTACCCGGATACTGACGATGCAGACAAACCTGCACCGGGCTCAGGGCTCAATGTTCGCGCACGCATCATTCTTGTCAGATGCTGGGCGACGGATAAAGCAACTCGCGAGCCCATCAAGAATGAGAAAGATCCTGGTGCAGTTAAGCACCTGAAGCGGTTGAAGACGATCAAGGAGACCCACTTTGAGGGCTTTGACATTCAGGAGGGAAAATGGACATTCACTGTGGATCATTTCTGAGCGTGGTTCTCTGTCAGCATACCTGTGCAGTGCAGTAGTATTCCTCTCCATATATTTGTAAGTGTTGTCTATGCCAAAAGTGCTGTTCTTAGTTTAGGTGCAGTCAGGAATACTTTGTACGCAAGTAGATAGCTTTGAATATTTGAATAATAGGTTAACAAACACCAGAAGCGGACAATGATGATATCACCTTGCGCCTGACAAGTTGGAACGCGACACCTTGAAATTACCAGCTTTCCAACCAAGTTGCCGACTGCCATCATTGACGTATCATGTACATGATGTTGAATGTAAGCACAGGTCGTACAATACCCGAAATCATACTGACCGCGTTTGACAGATGCCTGAAAACAAGCTTGAGGGGCAAAACGCGGCCGTCGCGCGCGGTGCCATAGAGGGCGCACTCTCAGGCTCAGCAATCGTAGCACCAACATGGTACCTGCTGAATCGCAGATGGCCCGCTTTTCGTGCCTTGCCTACTACGATGAAGACGCTGGGCGCCGTCATCATCATCGTGCCCTTGATTTCCATTAGGGCGGAGCACCGTGGGCTGGACTTTCATCGTCAGCATTGGTATGTCGGGCGTTTTGTTTTGAGGCATTGCCTAACTTGGACTGGTCTAGGACGGGTATTGGAAAGACGGAGCTGGAGAAGGAGCGAGAGGAGGAGCAAAGGAGGTGGGCTTCGTTGAGCCCGAAGGACAAATTAGCGGAGTGGACGGCGAAGCACCAGCTCAGCGTTATCGTTGGCAGCTGGGCCCTCACTATGGGTCTTGTCGGGAGGAAAGTCATGCGTGACCCGTACGTTTTCCTTTTGCAGTGTGGTTTGAGCTGGGCTGACCACTGAGATGACAGCTTGATATCTATGCCAAACAAGGTATGATGAACTTTTGTCGCTTCGGTCACTGCTTGTTTTTGTGCTGAAACATGTTATATCGTTGGCATCAGGTCGTTCAAGTGCGTCTCTGGGCTCAGGGGCTTACTATCGGTGTCATCATCGCAGCTGCTGCTCTGACACATTCCCAGCGCGCACAGGCGGCCAATATGAGGAAGGTGTGCTTCTTTGCTTCTTTCCCCGCGTTCGGCAAATTTTCTAACGGGTTCATTAGCACTCTCCGGATCATACTTGGGTATACCTGGTATGAATTTACACCCTTCATTTTACGTGTTGTGTTGACTTCAGTTCTAGCTGGACAAGCAGCGCCTTGAGAAGGAACGTGCACAAAAGGCTTAGTACTTGCCCTGCCCATGGTTTGCCTGCCTCCTGAAGTGTTTATCTTTGTGTTGTATTAATACGCATTCCGTTTACCTATACAAAACGCCTGACTCATCAGCGCAGTCCATCAATCGATTCATTTCCAATACAGATCCTTGCTTATCGGAAGTTGATTCACGCTGAACCTGCAAGAAAAAATGAAGCTCTATTATATCCCAAGGAACCGTGATAGATATAGCGACAGACAAGGCAGGTTCATGGGTAACGGACAAGAATATCATGAGGATATAAACATGATGTACGCCAAGATGTGTCAGGCAGACAGAAAGTCGATCCATGCCTTCATGCTCCATAAAAGCGCCATGCAAAGTATGCTCCCAGTAGGGTCAATGGGATGAAGTACATCAGGCTGCAGAAGAGGTCAGTTGTGAAGCGAACGAACGTGCAAGGAAACTTACTTTGAACCCTGCTCAACGGCGTCAGAGACCGAAGCGCCAGAGCCGGGAGCCTTGGTATCGCTGATTTTCAGAGCCTGATAAACCAGGTTAGTGTATTTTAAATGGGAATTGCTGTGGACATCTTACGCCTTCCTTCTCAAAACTTCCGACAAGGAGAGGAGGAAGGAGGTCACGAGCCTCGTCAGAGTGGCCAACATCTTCGAAAGCTTGGGTTGCATCTTTGCCTGCAGACGTCATATTTTTAACCTGGGATTAGCCACCCGATTTCACAGAACACATACCAGCTTCAGCCAAGATCACGTCGTCACCTCCCGGGTGCTATGAAATGAAGTGCCATCATCAGAGAATGATAGCTCGGTATCCATCCCATTGGTTGCATACCTCGTCGATGAATTTAGTAACATCGTACACTGCTCAACACGTCACCACGTAGACACAATTTGACAAGTTTCCTTGTACTGACCTTCTCCATGGATAAGAACATAAAGATTGTCCTTAGTAGAGTGTGCCTTGAGCTCTTCGTACGTGACGACCTTGGCCATTGCAAGTCCTGTTAGTTGCAAACGAGAAAGACGGCGATGACAGGAATGACTATGAAGCAAACAGAAAGTAAGTGTTTCAATGGCATAAAAAGCCCACTCGACTAACGTGGGAGTCGGGAAAACCTATCTTCTCACACAAACCAGAATCTCACGATTGGCCGCCAAACATTTTCTCTAACCCGAGTTGTCTTAGCTGCCAATTCTCCACCAATCAGGATTTTGTTTCAAATATTGACATTAAGTAACAAGTTTTTGCCGCATCACGGACAGATACCATGATAACGCGTACGTAATTACATGATACGTCGTGGAAAAAATGGATTACACAAGTAAGTGTAGAATGTATATCCGCATCGGTTTAGTACTCGAATGACCACAGTGGTTACTGCACGAACAGCTGGACATTCAAGCGTGGAACTGAGCACGCTCTGATAGCTAAATCTTCCACATCATTAGTATAGGGACGAAAGCACTGTGAGCCATGTCCCTAGGCATTGGCGAGTGGAGGTTGCACATGAAAGAATATTCGATCCAAGTCGACACCGAATCACTTCAGCGATGCCAGTATGATTTGGCGTAAACCCTGGTCGAAATCGTCTGCGAATAAAATATAAATGAGGACGAGAAGTTCCGGCGTTGGCAGCGGAAGTACGCGTCGATGAAAACTGCAGTGTGGCTCAGCGCTTTCCTGGCACCTAAGACGAGGAGATGAAAACTTGCTTTCGCCATCACTTATCATTACCAAGAAAATTTAACAGAAAATCAAATTTTTGATCTCCGATTCACTCCGCACTCGGGCCGTGCCGAGGGGTGTGGGACACCTTTCTTGACTACTCCTTCAACTCTCCCGCAAGGCGTCGTACCATGGCTTACGACGATGAGCATGCTGACATTCTCGGCGGCCCCATTTTGCAGATACCAGATACTGGTATCCTGGGTCAATGGTCCCAGTACTCGATTCTATTCAGGGCTAGTCTCATCCTAGCACTTGGCCTATTGGTATCGCTCATCTCAGTACGCGCCTGGGACATATGGAAAAAAAATCAGGAATTGGGCTACAGAAAGTGCGTCATTCTTTTTAGATTTCTTTAGCCTTTACTTATGACACCTATGACAATCAGAGCGATGCGTCGCAAACATGGAATCCCAGACTCGGACTGTCGTCCCTTTGCTGTAGCATATGCTGCGGCCACCCGGGCGCGCGCTGAACGCGAGGCTCAGGATAGAATACAGGCCAATAACGTCACGGAAAAGCCTCCGGCGATAAATAATCAAGTTCCGTTGGCAGACGCGCATGGATTGAGGCGAAGGGCGGCCGAATCTAGTGTGTGCAACTTTTTCGTGTTTTGTTGTCTCGATCTGATCGTTATACAGTTACGAAGCCACATGTTAATCAACTCCCTGCCACAAGGCGTACCATTTCTGGCTTTGATCACAAGCCCAACGGATTTGACTTTGCGCACCGATATAATCCCCGCCTTCGGGATGGCCTCCTTCCTCTCGCGCGCGAGTCCCTAACGCCTGTGAAACGTTCTTATCGTCGCGCTAGCAGAAAGGATCTTGTTTTCGACCCGAACGTGGCGGTGGAAGGCAAGAAACGAGCTTATGATCATGAGGGCAATCATGAACTTGCAATATCAAAGAAGTCTCGTGTTGATAGTGATGACCTCATTGACGATGATGAGGAACTTGAGCTTCTCGAGGAAGAGGACGAGCTAGAGCCCGCTCAACGGGGATCAAAACGGACTTTTGATTCGGATGAAGAAGTTGATTATATGCGCACCGATGGTCGTGACAAGCGCCCTCGGAATATGTCGCGAGCTCAGACACCTGAAGATCAGGAAATGGAAGCTGCCGAGGACGATGTCGCTGAATTGCACCCAATTCCTCGTGGGAAGAAGCGTGATCGTGCTGAGGCTGGCTCGACTTTCGGCGGTGATGATGAAGACGGGGGTACTGGATGATCAAGATGACAGGTCTCACCGTCATCGCAAGCGTCGCACGGTTCGTCCAAGAAAACCAGATGGTTCCTCTCGCGGCAGGAAGCGAGATCGTGATTCTGAATCCCCAGCAAGCGAGGGCAGTACTGGAGGTTCTCATAGGCACAGCGAACGCACCTCCAAGAAGAAGAAAGGGGCCAAGAAAACTTCTTCGGTGACAGCCAGTGATGCTCTAGACAGCTCGCAGGATCCCCTCTGCAAAGGTAGAAAGATTGGCGAGGTGTGGGAATCAAATGGTGTTCAATACAAGGTCGGGAATGAAGGCGAACGGCTTCGTCTCACATTGGTGAAAAAGGCTCGGAGCAAGTATTCAATGGTAGGTTGCGGCCCCTTTGTTAATGTGCTTGTGGAGCTAACCGAAACACAGCCCAGGGATTCTCAGCACCCAGATCGGCAGGCTAATATGGAGATCTATGTGGAAACCTGGCTGACAGATGAACAATACAAAGACTCTGAAGAGCGGCAGGAACTTGTGTGGCAAGAGACGCCTAGAGCCTCGATTGAGCCTAGCACCCCCGGTGAAGCTCCTGTATCACCAACGAAGACGGGTAAGGACCTGCTCTGGGATTCGATGAGGAACAGCCCTGTTTCTAGTCGTGCCTCCCGCCAGTCGTCGACCAATGGCCCAATCCGGGTAAATCCATTTAAGCAGCCTTTACCTCAGGCTACAACTGGTCGACGTGTTGCCTCTTCAAATGTTCATACTCCACCATTAATTCCTGGTGTGGCCGAGGGTCCATCTCGTCCGGGGTTTCGTGCATTCTCGAAATGGGAGAAGCAGGATCTTGAGGCTGAGGCGATGGCGAGAATGCGTGCACGGATGCTGGAGCAGAAGAAAGGAGAGATTCCGCAATCAAAGGCCTTTGAGCTTCCGACTAGCGCCACGGCGCCTGAGCTAGGCCCTAAAGCTCCGGCTGTGCCCATCATCACATTCACCCCGCCACCCCCTACTGCATCCACGTCTGGCAGCACTGAGACAAAGTCGACACCGTTATTATTTTCATTTGGTAATGCCTCAACGAACACGGATGCCTCAAAGCCCACTGCTCCTACTGCGTCTTCCACACCAGCAAGCGTTACGCCTGCGGCCTCGGCTCCAGTTGCCAATAAACTTAGCCTATTCCCTACCTCGTCTACTCCACAGATAACCCCTGCAGTGCCGCCGTCTTCATTTGGCCCGCCTACGACACAACCTACTAGCACCACCACCACCACCATAACCACCACCGTACCTACCACATCATCCGCACCCTCTATACCCGACTTTTTCGCTAAGCCAGCTGCACCATCGACTCCTGCGTCTGCAGCAACCTCAGTTCCTACATTTTCTTTTGGTCCCACGCCTGCACAGCCACTGTTCGTTGCACCTGCTTCCGCATCCACCAATCCCTTTTTTGCACCAGCATCAAGCACAGAAACCGGCAAACCAGCACCATTCCCTTTCGCAAAACCCAGTGTACTACCTTCCTCGGTGCCAGCATCTACATCAGCACAAGCTAACCCCACATCGATATTTGGGGCCCCTTCAAGCAACGCTGCCCCAGCTTCTGCCCCATCCGCACCTGCTCCACTGAAGTTTGACTTTGGCAAAAAGCCTGCGAGCACGATCCCAAAGCCTGCTGCTGCATCTCCCCCTACCATAACTGCTACCGATGCTGCAAAACAGACTAGCCCTTTATTCGCATCCTCGGCGGCTGCTCCTCAATCCAGTCCCTTGGGGGCAAGTTCACAGCAAAAGTTCTCGTTCGGTCAGCCCTCGTCAGCATCAGTATCTGGTTCTGGTAGCAATGCCACTGCTACATCAAAAGCTGCTGAGACCTCAGAAGCGCCCAAGCCCAAAGGAGCAGAGACTGAGACGCCCAAATTTTCGTTTAGTCCGCTCCCCGGTGGTTCAGCGTTTAGCTTTACAGGTGCTTCATTGGCACCCAAGTCAACGCCGAGCTTTGGAGCACCGTCAGGGGCATCAGCCTTTGCCATAACTCCGTCTTCGGGTGGTGATGCGAAGAAGACGGACGCGCCATTATCAATCTTTGGCGCCGCAAATGCTACCAAGGAAGATGGAAGTAAGGCTGGCGCTTCTACACCTGCAGTCTTTGGTGGTTCTAGCTTTGGTACAAATGCAAATGGCATCTCGAGCAATATCTTTGAGAAGTCCAGTGTTCCACAGCCCAGCGGTGACGCAAGCACGTCTACATTGGCTCCCAAGAGTGTATTTGGCAATGCCACGTCGAGCCATGCATTCTCTACAACTCCTACTGGATCTCCTGCTGTATCTGGCAGTGCCCAACCGGGCACTTTCACGTTTGGCAATGGGTCAGATAAGCATACAGATAGCGTGAAGCCGTCACCATTTGCTCCATCAAGCAATCCCACTTCTTCTGTCTTTTCATTTGGGAAGAAGGAAGACACCGCAGCGCCTTCTTCGTCCAGTATCAATACTTCTACTGCGCCTATATCATCGACGCCCACGTTTGCATTCGGATCTTCTGTGTTCGGTCAACCTTCGACGGGTACTTCAAATGGGCCAACGCAACAGCAATCGGTCTTTGGGAAACCGTCAGCACCTACGCCCAGTGCGTTTGGTTTCGGCAGTGGTTCTGGAACTGGAACTGGAAACAGCACTATCGGTTTCGGGGGTCAACCGGGAGGCCAAAACCAACAGCAATGATGCATTCCCATGTTTTTATCTACACTCCTGCATACGTGACCTTGTACAGCACATACCTCTTTCTGTATTGCGTCTTGCCGGTACTTTATAGGCGTACATACAAGTATTGCTTATCTCATCGCATGTCATCGCTTGTTTTTTGTACCATCACGATTCATGTGTTCGGGGCATTCAGCGTTGTCTGATTGGAGGCTCCTGCATCTAGCAGCCTGATACCTCTGCTTCAATACCCACTTCAACTAACACCGTATCTTCCGTAGCCACTCTAATGACCCAATTATCGTTGGTCTTTGCACTCAGTCTACTCGTACGAGATGCAGTAAACACGGGTATACAATCGTACACGTCAATGAGAAGGGGCGATCCAATGATCAATGCAACATTCGAAGATCACAATGACGAGGGCGACAAAAGTGTCCCATCGAGGTCCTGGCCATGCTCGTGGTGAAATTCAGCACGAGACATAATGCAAAGACAAAATTTCCTGACCTCAGCAGCAATAATGTAGCCACTTGGTGCTTGACAAATGAGCCTGAAGTCCGATATAAACTACCTAGCCGTTATGTCTCGCAGAAATCCCGTGGTATCGAACAAAGACAGGAACGGAACAAATGCATCCAGGAGGGTGCATAAGGGGCTGCCGGACCTACCCTACTAGTAGGCTGGGGTCCTGGGGATCGTCGACGTTCAATGGAGTCGGAACGTGAATTGGCGAAGGAGAATCAAATTGCGGTTGACTAATGCCGCTGGTTCCTAGATGCGGCATCATGATCTGCGACGGTCAAGCGTGTCAGTGACATTCAACAAAACCAAAAAGATATGACACACCTGGCCATATAATCGTCAATCTATATGCAGATGATGCAATGATATTGGTCTATCTCAAGAAAGGAGATAAAATGAAGACTTACTACGAAAATGATGCATACTAACTGTCGAAACCGAATGACAAGAGACACCGATCAGAATTCAGTAACAAGAACACCCGATGCCAACACGGGGTATGGAATGAAAAAAAACCGATCACAGAGCAATTCAAAACACATGACCACCGCAGGGGTCGAACCTGCAATCTCCTGATCACGTAATCGTAGTCAGACGCGATGCCATTTCGCCAGGCGGCCGTTGAAACAACGCCAATGCACATGTACTATGTGCTGAAGACGGGATAAGATTGCCCATAATCGTCAGTACAACAATCCAACTACCGGACCTTCTCTATGTCCGTCTTGTTCGAAACTTCTCTAGGCGACCTCGTCATCGACCTTGAGGTGGAGCAGTGCCCAAAAACATGCGAGAACTTCTTGAAACTTTGTAAGGTTTACTACTATAACTTGAATGCATTCTTCAATGGTGCGTAATTCTCCCTTCATTGGTACCTTTGCCTTAAACAACAGTATCCAGTATCCAAAGATTTCCTAGCTCAGGCTGGTGATCCCACTGCCACGGGAACAGGTGGAGAATCAATATGGTCCTACGTTGCCTCGCAAGGGGAGAAGGATGCCACAGCCGCCCGGTATTTTGCCCCAGAATTCGTGCCAAAGTTGAAGCACACCCATAAAGGCACAGTGTCCATGGCCGTAGCACCCTCTGTGAACGACGAGAAAGGTGGTTGTGGCAGCCAATTCTTTATCACACTTGCAGACAACATAGACTATCTCGACGGGAAGCATGCAGTTTTTGGTCACGTCGTAGAAGGGCTGGAGACGCTGGACAAGCTAAATGACGTCTTCACGGATCAAGATGGGAGACCATTCAAGGATGTGCGGATCAGACACGTCGTTATTCTTGGTACGTTAGTATCTAGTTGGACCCTAAGGTTTTCATATGCTCATGGACATCCGTAGATGACCCATTCCCTGACCCGCCCAGCCTAGTCCAACCCCCGTCATCTCCTACTCGGCCCCCAGATAATTCTACTAGGATTGCAGAAGATGAAGACCCCCTTGCCACTCTTCCGGATGAGGAAGAGGAGCGTATACGCCGCGAGAAGGCCGCAGCAGCCTCTGCTCTAACGCTTGAAATGGTTGGCGACCTGCCTTTTGCCAACGTCCGGCCTCCGGAAAACGTCCTTTTCGTGTGCAAACTCAACCCTGTCACACGAGACGAAGACTTGGAGCTCATCTTCTCGAGATTCGGCACCATTATGAGTTGCCAAGTCATTAGGGACAAGAAAACGGGTGACTCATTGCAATACGCTTTCATAGAATTTGACAAGCGAGACGACGCAGAACAGGTTCGTGGTGTACAGTTTTTGCATAGTGAGACGAGACTCAAGGACTTGTCAGGCCTATTTTAAGATGCAAAATGTGTTAGTAGATGATCGACGTATTTGGGTAGATTTGTACGTGCGAAACCACTTCATTGATAATTGTCTGACTCATCTACGCAGCTCGCAGTCTGTGGCACGGCTCAATACTACCTGGTCCAATAACCCCAAAGTGGGACTGCATAGCAAAGAAAGGGGCGGGTTTGGCGGTCGCGAAGACTTGGAAGAAACTCGACGATACCGGGCAGCTGGAAGAAGCGATGGCAGAAATGGTTATGGAATGGTGTTTGAAGTTCCAGATGACAAAAAAACTTCATCACGCAGGAGTAGACATGATCGAGATAGGGAAGACCCTCGGGATCGACGCCGACGCTCCGGCTCTCCTGTGCCACGCAACAGATCTGGAGAAAGGCGCCGCAGCAGAGATAGATATTCTCGGGATCATAGGACACGCCACTAGTAGCGGATCTGAAACTGAACACCGTGCCTGTATGTTTTTACTCATTGTGCTCTGTGTACCAAAATGATGGCCCGATGAGGCAGCCCACCAGTCTGAACTGTAATTTCCACCATTGCTGTGCCACGGGGCTAGATTATAAGACATTTGCGCAATGAGAGCTGTAACTCTCTGTTTCTCCTCTGGCTTCTCCCTCATGACACACTCACACAATGACTTCTACGCTCCCGGCTCTGATATGCTCCTGCTGTCGAGCGACGATGTCAAATTCTGCGTCCACCGTTGCATACTAGCAGCCGCTTCTCCATTCTTTGAACACATGTTTGCATTACCACAGCCTCCTGACGATCCAACAAACGAAGAACGTCGTCCTGTAATCCCCGTGTCGGAGCCTAGCTCAACCGTGCACACGCTTCTGCGTTTCGTCTACCCCGTACCTCATCCTACCACTTCATCCCTTGACGAGCTCAGCAATATTCTCGGAGTCGCAGTCAAATACGACTTCCTCGGTGTCATCTCCTCTCTTCGCAAGCAGCTTATCACCCCCGCGTATCTGAAAGATGATCCCGTGCGAGTGTTTGCAATTGCGAGTCGTTACGAATTCGAGCATGAAGCTCAGGTTGCGTCACGACACACGCTCTCCGTCAACATCCTTGACTGTCCATTGTCGGATGACTTCCGGTTCATCACAGCGCACTCATATCATCGCCTCCTCGTCTTGCACAAGAAACGTTCGAAGGATGCCCAAGCGCTCCTGAAGATTCCAGAAGACGTGAAGTGCTTGCAGTGCTCAGGGCCGTATTATGGAGCGTTTGTACCGCCAAAGTGGTGGAAGGAGTTTGAAAGAATGGCCAGAGTAGACCTGGAAATACGGCCAACCACAGATGTTATCTTCAGCATGCCATTCTTTGCGCGGGCCGCAGAGGCATCAGGATGCGCGCGATGTGCGAGTAGCATTCTGGACTCGCATGAATTCTTATCAGATCTCAAGCGACAGATCGACGAGCTTCCTGCTACTATATGATCGTTCCTCTTCACGACCATCACGACCATCACGACGTTATCATTGTCATGTCATATAACCTAGGACTTCTCGGGGACGTTCTTTACATGCGCCATTCTACGTTAATATTCCGAGTACTTTACTGCGCATCACCTATTGTCATTGTATTATGAAACGAGATACTCTTAGATCTAACCATGATTGTATGCATAGTTGTATAGGCTACTCACGTAGTGACCAAAATCACGGTCATTACGGATATGATCTGATATGAAGTTGATCAAGTGCCTGGCTGACGTGTCGACATGTCAAGTTCAAGCACTGCTTAAGCGAGTATGTAAGGAGGCTTGACCAGGAGCGCACTAGTAGCACGGCACCTGGGGAAAATTGCCGTAATCATCTTGTTCACAGCTACTGGGGTCGACTAGGGGGAGGACCGTAGGAGAAGTCCTTGAAGAAACGTACGGATACCAGGGATCAAGTAGAAATATGAGTGAAACATTATTTAGAGATACCCGAGGGGATAAGTAACTAGGGTCCGCTGACAGGTAGCGTGACTCAGATTCGGACATCTTGGCCTACTAAAATTAAAGTCCTGGGCGACTCTTCCAGATCTGCCTATCTCAACGACTTTGTCTCCAAAATGTCTACACCACAGCTCGCCACATTCAAGGGTACCTGCAATCGAAAATGAACCTATGGTGAGTCTATGGAACTTCACCAGTCACTCCTTCTCATCCTGGATCATGTCGGCAGCGAACCTATGCTGCAGGGACAGTAGAGCGCAAGGGTCTCGAAGCTGCACTTGCTCAGATGCAACAGGAACTTCCATTCGAGGTTCCATGTATCGTCAATGGCTCACCGGTCTGTACAGCTTGTCACTGGCCAACTCGTCGATGACTTAGATTTCCTCGGATCTTAGATCAAAACCGGTAAACTTGCCAAGCAGCCCATACCCTCCGATCACGCCCGTCATCTCTGCATATACCACGAGGCAGATGAAGCGACTGTAGCCAGCGCGATTGATGGTGCTCTTGCCGCCAAAGCTGAGTGGGAGGCCATGCCTTGGAACGATCGCGCCGCCATCTTCCTGCGTGCTGCAGAGCTTGTTAGCGGCAAGTACCGTTACAAATTGGTAGCAGCTACTATGCTTGGTCAAGGCAAGAACGCGTGGCAGGCCGAGATCGATGCTGCCGCAGAGGTGTGTAAGATGGAACTATCTTGATGGCAGTTGATTGATGGAATTTTCGCAGCTTTCCGATTTCTTCCGTTTCGGCGTCAAATATGTTGAGGAACTCTACGCACAACAGCCTCCTAAGAACGCGGCAGGATCATGGAAGTAAGTGCGGTACCCCTTCTATCAGGCTACTTCTGATGATTGGATAGCCGCGTCGAGTATCGTGCGCTGGAAGGATTTGTTCTTGCTGTTTCGCCATTCAACTTCACAGCGATCGGTGGTAACCTTCCAGGTGGTACGAGCGACTATTTTTATCACGATTATTACGTTCTGAAACAGACATCTTACTAGTTCCCGCAATCGTCGGTAACACAGTCGTATGGAAACCTTCACCAGCGGCCACGTATTCCAACTACTTGATCTATCAGATCCTCGCGGAGGCTGGTGTTCCAGCCGGCGTCATCCAGTTCGTTCCCGGACCACCTCCAGAAGTCGTCGCACAGGCGATATCGCACCCCAACTTTGCAGCGCTCCACTTCACAGGCAGCACGTTTATATTCAAGAAGCTATGGAAAGACATCGCCGCAAACCTGAACAAGTACAAGGGGTATCCGAGAATCGTTGGTGAGACAGGAGGAAAGAACTTCCACGTCATCCACAAGTCGGCAGAGATCCGAAATGCAGTTTTGCAGACCATTCGAGGTGGCTTCGAGTATCAAGGTGCGCATATTGCGTGTATGAGTGGCGCACAAGATTGACAGGCGTGTGTACAGGACAAAAATGCTCTGCGTTGTCACGGCTATATGTTTCTTCTTCGCTTTGGTCATCTGGATTCAAAGATCTGCTCCTGTCTGAGGTTGCGAAGATCAAAATCGGGTCACCATCAGACTTCGGCAACTTTATGGGACCGGTGATGTACGTTCCATTTATATGCATCGGGCTGCGCACCTATCACTGAATAATATCGCAGAGGTCGTCCGGCTTATGACAAAATAATTGGCTTCATCCAGAAAGCCAAGGATGCGGGAGGGGAGGTTCTTATCGGGGGCACTGGTAAGGCGGATACTACGACTCACCTACGAGTTTTCTCATGATGCTACAGGCGATGACTCCAAGGGCTACTTCATACAGCCCACGGTCATTCTAACCAGAGATCCTGAATCAGTCACCATGACAGAAGAGATCTTTGGTCCTGTCATCACTGTAATGGTTTTTCGTTCGCAAATGCGGCCAGATGTACTAACAACTTTCCAGGTTTATATGTACGACGACGCGAATTATGAGCAGACTCTGGAACTGATCGACAACACCTCGCCTTATGCCCTGACCGGCTCTATGTAAGCCCAAGGTCTTTGCGATATGCGTTGACTGACAACTTGTTTTCCAGCTTTGCCGCAGACCGCAAGGCCCTTCTGACCGCCACAAACAAGCTACGCAACGCTGCCGGCAACGTTTATTACAATGAGAAATGTACCGGCGCGGTCGTGGGTCAGCAACCCTTTGGAGGAGGACGAGCAAGTGGGACCAACGACAAAGCTGGGAGTATTAGCATCTTCTACCGATTCGTTTCTGCGAGAAGCATAAAGGAGAACTTCGTGGGCCTGGAGGACTTCCAATACCCGTCGAACTTGATTTGATTTAATGAGAATCAATAACAATGCTAGTAATCGATGTTGTATCAATCAGAGAATCATGTTGTTACCTGTATTCGATGAGAAATGTTTATGGAGGACAAATTTGAAAGTATCCTCAAGAGCACTTGAGCAGCAAACCTTATCGCCCCATGTTACTCTACGGTAATTGTGGCGCACACTAGATGTTAGAACGTTGCGCTATACTGTTGCTGAAGCATCCACTCTGGGACCATGACGATAGCGAACCGCTCCAAATTCAAGCTCGATAGCATATATAGGATCGACATAGAATAAAACCGTACTCTTGGTATGACTACAACTAAATCAACTGCAAGTAGCGCTAGAAATATTGATTTAGCAACTACGAGGGACAGTCAAGGCTAAGAACTCACCCATCTCGGCAATTCGACCAGTCTGCTCCATGAGCCATGCGACTCAAATCAATCTCTAGCCCACCGGACATCACGAATACAGTCCTAGGAGTATAAAATGGTTGTTCTCGGGAAGCGGGCGGTATCCAGAAAAGCAGCCGACCATGGGTTCCTTTCATCCATCCATCTTTTGGCATGATAGGATTTGAATCAAGATGAGAAGTGCCCTCAAGTAGCTCAGCAGGGTTTTGCAGTGCATGTTCCAAGCTTGATGCGAAGCAAATGGTGGGACGTCTATCCAAAGGGGATGTAGCGGAGTGGATTTCAGTGTGCTCCTGAAATTGCTGTTCTGTTGCTGCATTCCACAGCCGGACAGTGGAATCCCTTGAACCAGACACGATGCGAGTGCCATCGGGCGAGAACGAGACTGACTCAACCGATTGAGTGTGCCCTCGGAAGGGCTCACCCAATGGCAGCCCCGTTGCGGCATCCCACAGCCGGACAGTGGAATCGCTTGAACCAGACACGATGCGAGTGCCATCGGGCGAGAACGAGACTGACCAAACCAATTGAGTGTGCCCTCGGAAGGGCTCACCCAATGGCAGCCCCGTTGCGGCATCCCACAGCCGGACAGTGGAATCGCTTGAACCAGACACGATGCGAGTGCCATCGGGCGAGAACGAGACTGACTCAACCGATTGAGTGTGCCCTCGGAAGGGCTCACCCAATGGCAGCCCCGTTGCGGCATCCCACAGCCGGACAGTGGAATCCCTTGAACCAGACACGATGCGAGTGCCATCGGGCGAGAACGAGACTGACCAAACCGATTGAGTGTGCCCTCGGAAGGGCTCACCCAATGGCAGCCCCGTTGCGGCATCCCACAGCCGGACAGTGGAATCGCTTGAACCAGACACGATGCGAGTGCCATCGGGCGAGAACGAGACTGACTCAACCGATTGAGTGTGCCCTCGGAAGGGCTCACCCAATGGCAGCCCCGTTGCGGCATCCCACAGCCGGACAGTGGAATCCCAAGAACCAGACACGATGCGAGTGCCATCGGGCGAGAACGAGACTGACCAAACCGATTGAGTGTGCCCTCGGAAGGGCTCACCCAATGGCAGCCCCGTTGCGGCATCCCACAGCCGGACAGTGGAATCGCTTGAACCAGACACGATGCGAGTGCCATCGGGCGAGAACGAGACTGACAAAACCGATTGAGTGTGCCCTCGGAAGGGCTCACCCAATGGCAGCCCCGTTGCGGCATCCCACAGCCGGACAGTGGAATCCCAAGAACCAGACACGATGCGAGTGCCATCGGGCGAGAACGAGACTGACAAAACCTGAGAAGTGTGCCCACGGATCACGGTCTGAATAGCCGTCCAGTTCACAAGACGACCTTGCATCAGACGAAGGGTGTTCGGAAACTTTCCAGTAAACTTTCTAGCTATCGTAGACTTGTTGGGGCAAAATGGCAGCCCTGATACATACAGATGTGGCGTGCTGTGCAAAATCATCCCACCAAACACCTGCACGAATCTCTGCACGTCCGTTGCAGCGGACAAGACGCTTGCATGTCCGGATTGGCCCTGTGTCCGCGCGTAAGCACTTCCCCTGACACCACCAGGTGAGTCTGTTCTCACCTTCAGCCACTGGGCAATCAGTGGAAGCACAGCAACCGCGCTGCCGAGTCCATTAAGAAGGCCGAGTGCTTCAATCCAGAAGAGCAGTCGCTCGCTATCGAAGAATGATCCTATTTCCTTGGCGATCTCCGCGTCAAAGTCCGTTGCTCGGACGTGCGTAGCCCAAAATCGGCAGGAATATGACAGATGCGAGGGAATCCGTGTCACGACTCTATCCGGCAGTCCGGTATCCATGCTATTGGGGAGGTATGAAGACTTTAACTCACACATATTGAAGCGAAGGTCGTGCTCCATCACTCGAAGTGATGCGAAAGCAAGATCGCGTTGCGCGTTCGATATTTCCACAAAAAAGTCACCACTGGATGATTTGTCTGTCAGGAATTCGCGGAAGGATGCGTGAATGGGTCGGATGGGACTGGATGAGCTGGTGATGCCGCTTAGGAGGGATCCCATATGTGCTACTACGTCTTCTACTTTGTAGTGCTCGCTTTGGTCTGGAAAACGGCACCGCATGGCATTCAGGGCATCTAAAGGGAGCGGTTCGGCTGAGCCAAGTATTTGTGACATCACAGAATGAAACTTTGCTAGCGCTTGCTGATAATCGTCAGTGTCCGTGTATCTGTCCTTCCCCATGTTTTCTCCTAGAATGAAGCTATATATGCCATATAACAGGTTTTTCTGCTTTCCATGATCGTGGGATGTGACAGCATTGAAGCAATCAACGGTGGATTTGCCAGGAGGGGGTAGTTTGATGTATTTGCATGCAAGACGCGCCCACTCAAATAGTCCATCAGCTTTGTTGGCGAGGACCGCGAACTGTTTGTCTCCAAGACCGGACACCTTCTTCAGCTCGTGGGATACAAATCTACGGATGTCTCTCTTCGAGTCTTTTTTTGAAATGTCGTCCATGGATAACCGTTGAATGTGTGGAGCATCCTGAAATTCAGAAATGATATCAGGAAGCGCGCGAGAGGTGACGAGAATCCGAAAGTTGGATGGGAGTTCGGTGATTTGGGGAAGACCTTCGCCCTCCAGTGCGCCCGCAAGTATGCGGAGAAGGTCGCGCCGTGTCTCGATTTCCCCGCTCTCGTCCAGCGCTTCGATCACGATCAAGACAGGCCACACGCTTGACCCAGAAGACTTCTTTAGTGGTTCTATCAACAGCTTGCGCCACTGCTGGACGATATCTGTCGTGTTCTTGAGCGAGTTTGCATGTTCGACTGCATTCGCCAATGTTCGTCTCATCTCCGGATCACGATCAGCGAGGTCGCGAGCGATGGTGGAGAACACTTTTTCATGACGTTTGTCCGTTTGGTTCCGGTCGAAGCAGAAACACGAACCGAGCTCTCCCAAGTCGTTGAACCAGTTGGCTATCGTGTGAGCGATGGCTGATTTTCCTGTGCCCGCAGGGCCAGATAGCCACAGCACCTGCTGAGCAGTATCTCCGCTGTCGTTGATCCATTCAGTGATCCGGGATAGAATGTGCGTGCGCGTCTCTGGTAGGCATAGTTTCGTGGTATTCAGCCCCGCGCCTGCTGCGTAAGGCATCCCGCTGAGATCCAGTTTGTCCCCCAGTTCGTCACCTGAAGGAGTATTATGAGTGGACGGGAAGTCAGAAGCACGTCCGAATCCTTACTCGTACACCGGACAAGATCGGCTATGTCCCGAAGAGCTTGGTCCCGAAATTGTTGCATGAACTCTTCCAAAGCCTTATTGTACCGTGAAATCAGATCATCCGTCTCTGACATAACATTTTTCTCGAGTCTCTTCCCTGTGATAATGGCATAAGATTCAAATTATAGAAAGCGCAATGGCTCGACGCCTCACAAAAGCTCTTTTTCTCCGAATAATCCCTGATGAAACACGCGCACTCTAGAGTCTGCTGCGCGATCCGTCCAGCGATGCTGCGCTTCGATGAAATCTGGCTGAGAGTGTCCTCTTGTGACATGAAGCGGTAAACTTGTTCCAATTTCTCGAGAAGAGATTGCACCGATTTGTCGCGTTCTGTTTGAGCAAGAATAATCTGCGTAGAGTCGACAACTGCTGAACGGAAGGGCAAAACTACACGTACTTTGGATGCAGCAGACAGTATGCCCAGCACCATCTTTGCATAAGGATGTACCTATACAATTTAATTAGCCCGCCTCCAACCAAGAAGAGCGGCCCATACGTTCGTAAGATTCTCGATGACAGTGTCAAATATTTTGAGTTGTTGAAGATATGTGGTCGGGATATCGTCTGCGGCAGCGAGATCTTTTGGGCCATCCTTGACTTTGGATACCACAGAAGTGACACGTCCTCCGAGTAGTGTCATGCCTTCTGTAGCCTCACGGGCACCCTGAAGTTCAGCATCGACTGATTGGGGATCAGGAATCTCTTCCACGCCAGGAGGGGCGTCCAGCACCTGCACGACCACCAGAATTTAGACATGAAAACTAGATCGTTTGGCGTAAATACCTTCGAAGCAGGTTCTCCGGATGCTGCTTGATTTCCACAGCCAGTGAGATTCTCAGATGTGGCGGGCTTGTTGCTATCGGAAGGATGCAGACGCGGTGCATGCTTAGTGGACCTCAGACAAGTTCAAGGTCACAATAATAAATACTTACCTCAATATTCTGATTCAATAAAGCATCTTCATTCTGGACGGCGGGGATTTGATGGCGAAAACGGTTAGAGTGTTTCTGCACAATATCAGCTATATTCTAGTTCCTCCAGCAATCAGGTCGACGTACAGAAACTTTTTTAGTCACATTCTTCTTAAATTTCCGCAGGGCCTGACGGAATCCGGTGCGGGGCTGGCTCTGGATGAAAGATGCACGAGAGGCAGCAACGGCATCATTAGCGCTCGTCGACAGCAGTCTCATGAGGGCACGTACGGAGCTCTCGCCAGCAGTTGCTTCTCTGGATTCAGAAGCCTCCGGACGAGGTTCCTGCCTGTTGTCTTCGCTCATTGGGAACAGTCGAAAATTTGGATCAGCTTGAGGAAAATGACTGCAAAAATTAGAGGTCGGGAAGAGTATTCGGTAGGACCAGAGTCTAAATAACAAGCACCCGAATACCCTTGACCACAAGCCTCAAGGCAGCCGCGTTCAAGTAATGGAACGTGGTTCGTGCAAGCACTAGTGAAACTTTAGCATGTGACATCGTTCATCATGTAACAGGCTTGATTCATAGGTGCGGGTAAGTATATACATACATATGTATGGGCATTCATGACAATATCGTCAGGGCTGAACTTCAGTAGTATGGAAAGCGGGAGTAATTAATCTGGTGTGAGCGTCAAATCTTGTGCCGAGTCAGCGTCCACGCATTTGCGCAACCCTTTGCCCTAAGATAGAAATCCATATGGCTTTTGGCTTTGAGATACCGATCATTATAACCGTTATCCACATTTTCAAATTTTTCTATCCCAACGAGAGGATATAAGCTATCCTGCCTACAGCCTCGTGGCTGGCTGACGTCGAACTCAAGCGTTCAATGCATCATCTTGACAGAACTTGGACAGAGCGCACCAAAGGACTCAGACCAGCCAGAGGAGTCTTCTGAAGTTGTTCTGCCATTCAAACCATTCGTCATGGACAGTGAAACAAAGGCAGTTTCCTCCGCGACCCGCATATGCAACCACACGTCGAGCTTTGACGCTGGCGTGAATCATGCTCTCGACCTTCGCACTGATTTCTTCACTCAGTCAATTGCACGCAACATTGTCGAGAATGAGAACACGAGGAGACGACATCTACTTGCAAAGAAGATGCTAATATTGTATGAGTTGCTACTGTAAACATCGTCCAAGAGCCGACCGAACTTGAAGGATATAGGAAAGTCACAATAGGACGTTCGAATGCGCACAAACTTATGGTTCAGCACTACCGTTCATCATCGGTCGACAGAAACATGCATTCTGACACTGCCTCATGTACGTACAAGTACAATTATAATCATTGAGAATGACTTCATGGGGCTCGAATTCAAGTGCAGTTCAGGTGCTCTTCGGAAGTGGGGTCTCTGCATACAGCGCCTTCATGGCCGCTGGAGGATAGCGATCCCCAACCACCCAAACAGCCTTCTCCGCGATAACACGTACTTCCTGGACTGATTCAGGACTCAACGACACGTTGATAGCACTGAGGTTCTCCTCGAGATACTGTGCGAGTCAAAACCATGAATACCCGAGGCTATATGGCTACTGACCTTGACCTTCTTTGTACCCGGAATGGGGATGACATCTTCACCTTGGACAAGAAACCACACCAACGCGACCTGTCCAGCGGTAGAATTATATTGCTCGCCTACTCTCTTGAGGTCATCTGCCAGTTTCAAGATGTTCGGGAAGTTTTCCTTTGAGTATCTAACCAAGTACAGTTCGCGTGAGCCCCCTACCAGGCACTGACATGACACATACCTGGGAATCATCCTCCTGAAATCATTAGTTTCGAAGTCATCTGGATATTTCTTTTCATCCGGTGAGTGTCCAAATCAATTTTACTGGTCTGCGATACTTACCCGTGATCGAACTACGCCCAAGAGGCGAGTAGGCAATGATTTTGATTCCAAGTTCACGAGCCGTATTTAAAGTTTTTAGTTTTTAGTCCTCGATGTCGACAAGGCCTCACTGCTTGTTATTCTATGTGCTAGAATCAGACATAGAGATGATGCATCGATGATGGATTTGAGATAATGAGCGCGTAACGGTAAACAGGACATCGTCGAAATAGCACCGCGTCAGTTGGCGTGTGTAAACTGAACCAAACAATCCTCCTGATTCATGATAAGCCTCTTCCAAGTATCACACCGAACACAAAGATGTTTTCATAGCTTTCCTACCATATGTCATTACCAACGCGCAAGCGAAAAGCTGTTTGCAGATGCAGAACGGGAGGAAGCAGAAGAAGCTCAAAGTCCTAAACCAAGCATATCCAACATTCCTCAACTACAGAGCCCGGATGCAAACTGGACAGGCGAAGAATCCATGCAGGATGCTGTGCTGCGCATGCTCGTCGACAAGTACAAGCCTATGCGCTCGGGGCCTATCAGGTCAGCTGACATGAAGCTGAGGGAGGCGCCGCCGAAGGTGCACACAGATGCACATGTCGTCGAACGATCTGCCCAAGGGTGGCAAGAGCTTGCAAAGAAACCTTTGCTACCTTCTATAGAAGGTCACAAGCCTTGGCTTACTACTTACAAGGCCCCTTCTCATGCGTCTGCATCCATTAAGCTCGGCAACTTCACACCTGCATCCGCACGGACGCCTGGCGTCCATGCTGTGACGGACGAACGCACTAGGAAGACGGAGAGGGAGCTAGCCAGACGAAAAGAGCAAGCAGGACGACTGTCGAGAGCTAGAGAGTCAACATTGGATTATCGCTTGGGCCTGAAGAACAGCGAGGGGCAACGCACTGCTCGTCGGAACCCTGTGAGTATGAGGGGGTGGCAGGCCTTGATAGAGGACAAGATACAGGTTGGCTTCGTCATTCACTCGGAATTATTTTGTTCTTACATTTAAAGATAGAAAGCTCGAGCTGCCGGACATTTCGACAAAATCAAAGGGCGAGGTCAGCCTATGGTTAGATTGAGCGACGAGCACAATCCTTTCATTGCAAGAGAAGAGTTCCTCATGAACCGGATTGTTCAAAGGAATGGGGCAGCTCCACCATGGGTTGAAGTCCAAATCGGTGGGTGACTTATACCATGTCGGTGAGATCTTCAAGTTAATCACCATATTATAAAATTACAGAGCTCGAGACTGCAGTGAACTCGTTTCGCAATGTCCTGCGGCAGTCGTGGACAAGGCGTGCAATTCGGACTTTAACAATGTTACAACCAGCGACTATGTTGCCTTCATTATCGCTGGGCAGTGTGACATCATTGCGCGACCGCGAGTGGGAAGAACGAGAATGCTCTTACCACGATACAGCCATCGCCGAATTGAATTCTTTGGTGCGTAAATACAATGCCCTTGCGCCATATTCTGTGCGCCGCCCGTATTATTCTCGAGAGGCCGAATTAGCCAAGGCGTATCAGGACTGCGGGGATGACATTCTGCGTGAGATATCAGAGAGAAGAGAGATACATGGCAGGTCTGGTGCCTCACCACCATTTGAAGTCGAGTCTTCTGTGGACGTCGATGCTTCGAGTTCAACGACTTATCCTTTGAGGTTTCGAGATATCATCCGTCGGTGGTTTATGAAGCTGCGAGAGAGATTCTTCAATGTATCCTGAATGACATACTCGCACGGCTGATCATACATACATGCATACATTATGCCCGGATGAGGCTGAACGGCTCAAGGCACGCCCTACATCTATTCTAGACCCCTCTATCGTAGCTAACAATCCATACATGCATTTGTATCCTTGCTCTTGTGTTGTTACCGGAGATCCAGGAATCCAGGAGTGCGCCGGCTGCCTTCCATAGCCGATTTTTGTCCATTGTGTTGGATCTGATACCGCGGAGGCATTCATGTCCCTAGTCGCATCAGCGTTTTTCCTCAGCGCTCAGCGTCCACAGAGTACTGCAGTCGTTACGACGATTCATACATACAAAAACGACGACAATACTGAGCACGATTGAATAAGTCGAATTCACGCAATTTACGTGAATTCGGCATCCCGGACATAACTCGGCCGCAAGGGACAAGAAGAAACGAGGCGTTTACCCACTTTTGCAAATTCCCTGGCCTGCCAGGCGCTGCCTCGTGTCTGCCTCGCCTTTTCCGGAGGTCATTGACCGGACATCTAATCTATAAAAACCCACCCTTTTGTTTATTTAATTCTCCCATCCTCAACACTTGTATTCTTACAACCCCACCTTTTCTCCTACCTATCCCGCCCACCGTCGCCGACGCCCATCATGGCCATCTACGAGGAATACGCAGCGCTCCCTGTTACCAGCGATATTACTGTGAATTTTCCGCTTTTTCCCAGTGCCGAATAAGCTCTAATGATACTTTTTTGTAGCCTGGTGACATCGTCGCTGTTAACCACGACCGGTACGGTCGTCAAGAGGGTCTCGTCGTTGGCTCTCGTGTCGACTTCGCTGTAAGCCTCGCCTTCCACAATAAAAAAGCATAAAGACTCATCCCACCTCACAGGGCCGACAAATTCTCGAAGTCCAACTCGAAGCCTCAAACGAAATCTATCAAGCATGGTACAGTCGACACATTTCTCACCCCAAATCCAATATCTAACGCAACCCAAAACCACAGGTACCCCACTGTCACCCGCGTCAGGCGAACAGTCTCCTACACCCGACCTGTCGTCGCAAAACAGCGCACCGTTGAGCGCCGAATCTATTGGTGATCGTATTTCACCCGGCCTTATTTCTCTGCTTGGTTTGGGCTGTCGAATTTTGTATTATCTAAATATCTACTCTGCGGCCAAGTCGACGTGGTCATGGTGCTCTTGCTTCTTGCTTCGGTCATGGGGGCGATGTTCAATACGGTACATAGCTCGCGGTGGCTACTGGTGGACGCGATGCCGGGCATGGCGGAGGTTGCTTGTTTCATTCAACTGATGAATCTACGCGATGATTACTAGAGGTCTTTTGACGGGACATTAGGTCACACGTACTTTGATGATCGTGACAAAATGACATGACATGACCTTGACATGTACAAGATTAGCTGCTGTCACAAGGCCTACTAAACATTGCGTGACGTGGCGGCAATCACGGGTTATCGTGAATATAATACTTATTGTGTATCTTTACTATTGTGCACTGCATTATTAGGGACAGATAAGCGCCGTTAAACGCCGTAGATGACTTCAGTCCAGTCGGTATTCAATGATACCAACAAGCATGGCTAAGTAAGTTAGTAGAGAGCTCAACATGTGGCAGGCTAGGTTATGCTAAAGATACAAGAGCATAATAAAGTTATATGATAATATGAGCGCTACAGAAAGGCAGTTATGCTTTCTGGTCGACAACGGGTGAGGGGTGTGTAGGCCGAGGGGATTTGGGATGGCGAGATCCCGGTGGACGAACGGTAAGGGATGAAGACGAAGATGACGCACGTTGATGCACATGCATAATATCTGGTGCTGATGCCCAGAGAGAAGACGAATTGGTAGATGTGCTTGACATAGAAGCCTGCGACAAATTTGCTTTCAAAGGAACAGCGCTCCCGTTCATTAGAGACGGAGTCGATGCAGATAGAGACTCTCGGTCCCGTCGCGCAGCTGAAATACTTCTTCTCCCAGCTACTACGCTCCTCACAACTCTCGGTCCCATCACACCCCTCCCTCTATTCTCCACAATATCCCCATCTACCAACGAACTTGCAACCGATGTCGTTGACCCGTTCACGCGCGGCTTGAGTGTCTCCTCTGAGCTTCGTGGTGAGTTGTGATGTGGGTAAATGCCAGGGCGCGACTGTACCACGCGCTCGTAGTAGAGCATAAACGCCCCAGAACCCTCCTGCACCACTGTCTCTATTCCGCATTCCTTCACTGAATCGTCGCTGATCCGTAGCCATCCCCGGCCAGGGCGATACATGGAGTCCACAGCTTCGTCATCGTCGCGCACGGGCCCATAGCGCTGGCACCTTTCGCAGTCGCAGCCAAGTGGGTCGGCGAGTCTTGGCGGTGCGAAGCGCCGCGAGCCGTAGGATACAGGTCGGGGTTTGCGTCGATAGCAAACGTAGTGACCGAAGGAATGCTGGCCATAGTGACACACAACAGCAGAAAGACGGTATATGATTCTTTGCACGGCATATGTTGCCGGTGTAGGAGTTGTGGAACGAGGGAGTAGGGGTGGTTGTGACGAGATGGGAACAGAAGGTTTGGTGGAGAGGTTGCCAGACGTTGTGAATGGTGTGAGATCTAGAAACTCAGGAAACAGAATGCGAACTGTGTTCTTAGCAGCATAGTGGCCGTAGCTGAGGGATCGATTGAGGTGCAGTGCGAGAACTTGAGGTGGCTGTAGAACGTCTTAGATACTCAGGGGGCACAAACGAAACTCAGACTTACTCTTGCGATCATAGCTTGCTTTGTCGATGCTCTGCTAAACACTTTCTCCAGCTTGACGCCCTTGACTTCCTCTTCTAGTCGACCATGATCCAAGGCAGACTGCACTTTGAGTTCTAGTTTTCTAGCATCCTTCATTCGTTTCCTCTTTGATACAGAAGCAGTAGGGTCTGCAATCACTGCTGCTGCCAGCCGGTCTGCCTCTTGCCTAAGCCTCTGGTGCGTGGCCTTCATCGAACATTTGCGACATATGCAGTCGTTCAACATCTCAAGCTTAGTGTATTCCGCAAGGCAGTCTTCCAAATGACAGCTGGCCTGTGTGCGAGTTAAAGTACATCGATGACCAAATCAATCAACACATACGGCATATCGAGGCAAGGCAAGTTGCCAGCTATCGAAAGCAAAATGCATGACTGCTTCTGTGTAGCCACATTCAACGCAGCTGCGTCTGTTCGCTGTGAGCCCGTCGAACACGCTCTTCCCAATCTCCTTGTTGACGTCATTGCGGACTTGAGAGAGTCCACCTAGACCACGGTCCCGTTGGCCCTCATTGTCAACTGCAGCCACTTCCTTCTTGATGCATTCGGAAACGAGTTGGAATAATTCCTGTGCGTCTTGATGTTCTCGAGAGGAAAAGAGGGAGTTATGTTTGCTTCTGGAGTGATTGACGAGGGTGGTGATCATGTCGAGTGGACGAATTGAATGATAAGAAGAGCGAGGTGTATTAAGGTCTGTAGATATGTCTGTCAAATGCGTAGCTGTGGTGCTGTATGATGGCACGCACCTTGGAGCAAAGCCAAGAGGGAGTCCACGACAGGTGATGGCACATCAAGTTGAATGGCCTTGGCTTGCGTGTACGAGAGATAAGGGTGTAAATAGGACAAGGATGCCATAGCCTGATTGCAGTAGTGTGAATTGGAGAATCACGATTCGGATTGAGCACCTTACTTGCATAGTTGAGTTCATGAAACAGTACGTTCCGGATATATTGACAAGACCGGGGTAATAGCCATCATGAGCATCGTTTTTGTGCTCTGAAACTGATGTGTTGCAACAATTAGATTATCACATGAGAACCAGTACATACGTGGTCTTGCATGTCCATTAAGCTCGATCTGCTCACTACGAGTGCGTAACACTTTCTTCTTGAGTTTTTTAGTTTCTTGTTGGGTACTGGAGGATGATGACCAGTTCCACGGCAAGTTGAATGAAAAGCTCTCAAACACCATAGCTAACCGCCAGGTGACTGGTGAAGATGATCCAAGGCTGAATACCGTCTGGACGAAGAGCAGGACAATAAGCGGGAATAAAACGAAAATGGCAAGGGGGGTTATTTGAAGAAATAAAGGGTCTTTGAGTAAGGCGAGAGACCAAGAACGAAATTCGTCTTGAAAGTTCATGGGGGGTTCAACTTTATGCTGCTCTCCAAGACATGAGCAGCTATAGCGACGCAGCAGCTCGGGGAACACGAACCTTTATGTTGTTGACATGCTCGTTCGTTCGTATATAATATGCCCACGCAATTCAATGAAACACATGGCTACCTGGCGCAATGGTAGCGCGTTTGGCTTCGATTGCCAGCGGCACCAAAAGGTTGCAGGTTCGAGTCCTGCGGTGGTCATTTTTTGTTGCTGTTAATAAAAGCACAAATTATTTTTTACATCTTCTTCTTCTTACTCCTCGTAACACTCGTGCCTATGGAACTCACAAGGCCACCTCCCTATGCTTATACCCTCTCCAGATATCACTCGCCTCCCCTTTTGCTCCCCGTCATCTAAAATAATTACATACTGCTCATCTGTTCTTTCATCCACGTAATGCCACTTCCCACATACGCCATCGCCAAACGGGTGTGGGAACAGGTCATCGTCCTCGGGCTCCGATGGATCCGCTAGAAATGGGTGGTATAGTGCTCCCCGCGGAGTAATGCGTCGCGTTGACTCGGGATGCATTACCTCCGCTAAAAGAGAAAGCGCAGCTTCGACCTCAATTCGGTGCGATTCAGCTGTTGGGGGTGCTGGTATATTGGCACGCGTGGGGGTAGTGGAGCGTGACCGAGAGCCGTATGATGAAGAAGATGACGGCGGATGGTCGAGTCTTCCAGGGGAATGTGTCTCGTAGTCATTGTATGGATAATATCGAGGGTCTGGCGTACGAGTCTTGAATATGTTAGGATTTTGTTTTTCAACGAACTCGCGCCAACTTATGCCCTCTTGCGATATTGAAGGCACGTTTGTCGCAAATGTCCGACCTGTATAGTACTCATGAGCTGAAAAGTTTAAATCAAATACGATAGTTACTATGCAAGATCGCAGTTTTCTCCATCTTCTGTCGTCCGATAATGGTAGCTATTTCCATGAGAGCTTCTATATCATCACTGGACTGTAGAAGAGGGAATTTTCCCGCCAGGAAGAAGAGAAGGATCATGCCAGCTGACCAAACATCAATGGCTAGGCGCAGCGCGTTCAGCCAGCGCGTCGGATTAAAAATGACATGCCGTACCACCGGTTTGCTGGCTGCACTTTAGAAGGACTTCGGGGGCCCGGAAGCCTCTCGTGCCTGCCCTGTTTGCTTTTGAGGGGGCTCTAATTCACAGGGTCAGTAAGCGAATTACTTGGAGACGAAAGCTCACCTCGTATCCTTGTCAGGATAGCCAACACGATCGCTTGACCATGAACTTTTCTGTCGGGCTTCCCTCTGCATCTTCTTCAGGAGGTCAACATCATAGTCATTCCGACCTCTTATTTTTCCATGAGGATGCTCTCGCGTGGCAGAGGTATGCAAGCATGCTCCGTGCGCCGGCGTGGATCCATCCATTCTCTGAAAACATGTTATAACGGATACTTGAAGCACATGTCTCACTGCTCACACTTGCGAGGCCAAAGTCGCACAAGGCACCTACACCTGTTCGAGGATCATACAGAAAGTTGGCAGGTTTAACGTCCCGATGTATGATACCTCTGGCATGAATATCACGTAACGCACGGAACATACATCGAAAGTATGCTTTGATACCAGCCATAGACAAGTCTTTGTAGAATTCCTGACCTAACGTTAAAGCGTCTTTCATATGTAAACCGGTGCACCCACTCGAAAATCTTCGTTGCGGGTATATGGCATGATAGCGACCACCTGATCTTGGTGTCGGAACGCGGTGATAAGCTGAGAAGTATGACGGCATCCCCTGCAATCTTCCATGATCGAGATCTCGTTTCGTATCCGCTCTGGATTGCTTGTGACATATATTCGTTTTATGGCGACGAAGACTTTGGTACCGGGGGAATAAGGGGCTGATTGGTAATGTGCGGAGGATGTGGGAGGATGGTAGCCATGCCACGCAGTGTTGTCCCATTTATAATGGTAGGCCAAATCTATGGCCTTGTATACGGAGGAGAATGTCCCTGTGCCAAGGCGGTCGACGATGGTATAGTCTTCTGATAACGACGGAACAGCATTGTTGAGATTGGCAATTTCTAGTTGGATTTCTTGTTGTTCTTCTGGTGGTTTGAGGTACAACGTCTTCTCTTCGTCCGTTTCACCATCTGCGTCGGCGTCTTCATCAGGGTCTTCGTCGTCGTCGTCTAGATTGCCCATATCGTGCGGTGCTTCAAAGTTCATATCGTCAGCGCTTTCCATGCTCTCGTCGAGATCTACGACCGGCAGCTCGTCTGGGTGACTTGGCCGCCTTCGCTTGATAGTGGAGGGCACAACACCTTGTTTTGAATAAAGGTGTGCAAGATGATTGTGATACTCGACCATATCTGGGCTTTCGAGGCCATTGTGACCGTCCTCGGAGGTGGGACTGAAAGTACCGTTTGTATTCCGTGCTGAGACATATTCCTCGTGGTAAGCTTTGTTGCGAATATCAGAAGAACCGACTTCAAGAGGATTAGATGAATGCTGAGAGAGCAGTATGGTAGCCATGGCGCAGTCTGGCCGATGTGAGTAATGGCCAGCTTGTTCAGGTGTCGTGGTAAGTAGAAAGCATCTTTAAAACGCTAGCCTCGTCGCGACAAACGCGCTAGGGTCACGTGAGCTAGATAAGCACAAGATAAACAATAAAAAAATGACCACCGCAGGACTCGAACCTGCAACCTTTTGGTGCCGCTGGCAGTCGAAGCCAAACGCGCTACCATTGCGCCAGGTAGCCATGACGTATCTCTATCCTGACTCATTTTCACGTAGAAGGACTTACCAAATTAACTACTGTTGGAGTTAGGCTGCGCTGACACTCATCTCTGTCATGGCGCTCAATTGGACGATGCTGGATGCGAGACACCAGCCTATACCCTTACATGATGAGTCCACCATCATGTCCATAGATCGTGATTCGCAAGTGGAGTTCTCCATGACCATACCTGACGCGCCACCTTCGGGCACTGCTGCCACCGGGGGCAACGGTGGGGTGAAGAAGATGAAGGAGAGAGGGAAACTCTGGCTGACGAACAAACGAGTATGTTCATCTTTCCCTCCAAACATTAATCAATCTGATTTTGATGTGCACTAGCTGATCTTCACAACACTCAAAGGGGGAAAGCCCAAGCCGTCATTCGAATCGCTATCGATACCACTGGACGCGATCCTATCTAGTAAATTTGAGCAGCCTTACTTCGGCGCTAACTTCGTGGTGCTTGATATCAAGCCCTCAGTGGGTGGTGGGCTCACAGACGGTACGAGCGTCGAGATCCGGTTTTATGACAGGGGGTTATTTGAGTTCGTGAGCGTCTTGGAGAAGACGCGTGAAAGAGTCGTTTATATGAAGAGGCAGGCGGCCATGGAGGACGATGAGAACTTACGTGAGTACTCATTTAGACAGCATCGATATCTCTAATGTGCTTGTGCTGCTAGCTGCGTATACGTCATCCGGTTCCGCACCGAGAGCTTCAAATTCATACGCGGATACTCCACCTGGATATGTTGCTTGAAATCATTTTCTCCACCCACTGTGTACCAACAACATTGGACTTCGTAATAAGGAATGTAACATGTGTACACTTTTTCTGTCGAACTTTCAGCCTTGTCGTCCATGCATGCTAGGTGTTATAATATTAATGCGTTGTTTGCAATATCCGTAAACATTCAAAACTTCTAGTGATCTATGATCTACGCGCCGATGTTCGCGGCTAATTTTGTTGTTTTTGGATAATTTGTAGTCACGAGGAATTATCCCGTTGCAGGGCTGCGGCGAGAACGCTATCACGACTTCCTGCCACGAGCAGCCAGTCTTAGATTGGCCCTGTGGAATCAAAAGTATCTATGATGTTTTATGTTTTGGAGGTCCATCATCTCCCCAGTGACTTCCACAGAACACGGCATCATTGACTTTTAGCGTTGAAATTTATTTGACATCAAATCGAGTTCCTTTACCCATCGTAAAAATTAGTTTGACGAGGATTCTCGACGTTGAAGTCGGGTCGGGGGCCGATGAATCTCACGTCCTACCGTAATAATGAGGTACTTTGTAGAACTACTATGCCTTAAAGCGGTTGTGATATTCCCACTAAGCGCGGGGAACTGCGGGGAACCAACTTATACAGGTACGACGATTCATATTGAACCACATATTTCATTCGTCGCGTCATCGTCCAAGTGATCAGATGAGTCTTAATGCCAGCCTATGATTACACGGGATGGATGCACCAGCAGGATGTGTTTGTCGGCCGATGTACGACAGTTCAAGTGAGTGTCGGCATATGTATCGTACCTGAAGTGATGACCATGAGACGTCAAACAGCATTATCATCGAATCACTATCGAGCTTAATTCTTGCACACCATTTACATCAATTCTCTCATGATAGAAGGCATAGGTTTAAACCGGACAGCCTCATCAGGTGTGGCGATGAATAGCAGACGTGAACTGGCAGGTCATTTAATATGGCTTGCAGAAGTAGACCAAGTTAACACACATCATGAATATCACCACTCCAACTTCCCTAGTACAGAACGTACTCCCTCCATTCAATGCATACATCATGATTGGACCAGTGGTGTTGGGTGCGCTCGTTAATGCCTGCCTCTTCGGCGGTCTCGTCATTCAGACTTACGTCTATCATGCGAATTTCCCCAACGATCATCGAGTAGTGAAGCTCACGGTCAGTGAACCCAGTGTGAACTAAGAACACTAGTCGCTGACTAGACGCCATGATTCAGGTAGCAGCCATCCTGTAAGTGCCCTATGTCGCTTTCCTGCCTGCTTTGCCCAAGCCAATCGAATTGTACAGCGCATCACAGACTGCACATGTGATCTGTGTATCAGCGACACTGTGGAAAGTTGCTGTCAGTGGCTACGGCAACCCTCTCACGCTGTCGGTCTTCCCGCTTGGAGCAGACGCGGCTATCCTCTTCACTGCAATTACAGGGAACACTAGTAGAAGTAAGATCTTTCATCGAATTGATGGATATTCTGACTAGTATATATGCAGTCATGCTTCGCGTTTCGGCTGTGGAAGCTTTCGAAAACACTTACTCTGCCCCTTATCTCGCTGGCACTGTGTTTATTAGCTCAGTCCATTGCACTCACGATGACAGTGAAAGCTTTCGCCATGACAAACCTTCTGACGTTCGAAACTGACGAAAACAAGCTGATCACGCTTTCACTCACCTCTCGTCTGGTTTGTGAGTTGACACTTACCTTGTCCATGGCGTGGTACCTCAGGAAGCAACGATCGTCGGCATTTGTGAGGCACGTTAAATTACTTCCAATCTGTTCCGTCGTAATTATTTACAGAACAACGACCATAATTGACCGTTTGGTTCTGTGGACTCTCGGTGAGCATTGAGCACTTTCTGGTAGATATGACTCACCTTTCCAATCACCACGCAGAAACTGGCCTTATGACTAGGTGTGTGACAAGACCTTCCTGGTGCAGTGTTGCAGCTAATTGTTATGTTCAGCCTGGTCGTGGTCTTAGTCATGAGCTTCGTAAGAGATCCTTTTCCAGATACAAAGCACTGAATTGATTGTGAAAGAGTAGTTCCTAGCAATGAAGCAGAATTGTGAGTCAACCGGGATATCTCTCCTTCGTCGCACAGTGAATTTTTTGTAGACATATGGGTTGGATTATATGCAACCCTTGCAACTGGTCTGTGTCCGCAAATTGCACGCATTCGAAGCACTTATTCAGTCTTTGCGTCTCAGTGAATGCGAACTCGTTACTTGCATCGTGAGCTTTCTTGACTATTTTGGTGACGCGCTCACGCGGTTGTAGACTAAACGGCAGATTAATCCTCCGCGTACCGAACCAAAGCTTGAACATGAATCCTCCGAGTAGTTCAGCTGGTAGGCGTAGCCGTGAAACCCAGGTTCGTAGAAGTACTGTCGTCTTGCGATGTGGTTTACTGAAGTCGTATGAAGTCTCTTGTGATCAACGTCACGCGAACAGTCGGAACTGTTCCAGATGTTTTCAAATACGACGAGGGTGAAGTTTAGGACCGAGGAACCGGATAGTGACAATAACGACAATCCATACATTATATGATGAGGCTAGTATAAATCAACTACTGGTCGCCGATTTGGATGCACGTACGGGAACACCGAGAAATGTAGACAAAGAGCCAGATGATAACTGTCTGTTTCAAGGAGGCATCCACGAGGTGCTGTTCTCCAGAGGCTGTGAACATGTGTCGGTGGCTGATCGGTCTCAAGCCTTAGCCGTTGCATCGGTTATTCAAGATATACCCGCTGACTTAAGGAACTAGACAAGCTACTATCTCAGGCTCGTCTGCGGTCAAAGTGATCATGATCTAGAGCAAGAGTCTCAATACAAACACGAGCACAGACATAACGGAATTACTGACAGAGTACAATGAGCCCAGTGAGCACTGAAAAAGCAACTCAAATGATGGCCATCGATCGTCAGATAAGATTCTGATTCTAGATCATAACGAAGGCAATTCATACTAACGTTACAGACCATTTAACTTCCGTTGTACTCGGCGGCGCAAGTTCAAACTAGCCTGCATTGCATCAACTCTTTGCGCCAAGCGGAAGAAATGAAAAGGAGATTTAAAACGGGTTGGGAAAGCGGACAGGACGCTACCTCGCATCATGGATCCTACGAATTCCAGCACCTCCTTGGCTTTTGAAGTCGCAGCATTCAATCCATCCATCATCGTCGGACCTGTGGTGTTGGGTGCACTCGTTGATACCTGCCTCTTCGGCTGTCTCGTCATCCAGACGTATGTGTATTATGCGAATTTTGCCAACGACCATCGAGCGATTAGGTTCACGGTCAGTGAAGCCGATGCGAGGCACGAATCACTGACTTGATGTGATCTTTCCAGGTAGCAGCAGTCTTGTAAGTGGCCTACACGTCCTTGTTCCCTGTCCAGACCAGCCAAATTGTAAAGCGCAACACAAATTGCACATGTAATATGTGTATCGGCAACACTGTGGAACACTGCTGTCAGCGCATACGACGACCCTTCGAAACTTCAGATACTCCCATTGGCATCCGCCGCGACTATCCTCTTCACTGGAATTACAGGGGCACTCGTTGAAGTAGGATTCCTCGTCGAATTTGATGGTGATACTCACCTGCACGTAGTCGTACTTTGCTTTTCGACTGTGGAATGTTTCGAAAAAACTCCTTCTTCCCATTCTCTCGCTGGTACTCTGCATAATAGCTCAGGCTGTCTCACTCGTGATCACAGTGCAAGCTTTCAAAACGACAAGCATTGCGGTATTCGAAGTTGATCAAAACATGCCGATCACTCTTGCACTCATTTCGCGTGTGCTCTGTGATCTGATACTTACCCTGTCCACGGCGTGGTACTTGAAGAGCCAGCGGTCGGGATATTCAAGGCAAGCCACAACACTTCTAGTTTGTGCTGCTGCGACGATTTTGCAGGACGACGAACATGATCGACCGTTTGGTTCTGTGGACTATTGGTGAGCACTGTGCTCAGTTTCCATATGACTCACGTCCAATCAACCACTCCTTAGAAACCGGTCTGATAACCAGGTATGATAAAAGACGACGATCCTGGCGTGTTTAGACTAAAGTTATGTTGAGCCTGGTCGCAGTACTTGTCATAAGCTTCGTAAGAGACCCTTTCTCGGGCGCGCAGTACCAAACTGACTGACTGTAAAAAAAATGTGTAGTTCCTAGCAATGAAGGAGAATTGTGAGTGAACCGGGATCTCTATCCTTCGCCACCAACTGAACTTTTCGTAGACATATGGGTTGGATTATATACAATCCTTGCGAGCGGTCTGTGTCAGCGCAGTGCATATATTCGGAACGCTCACTTAGACCTTACCTCGCAGTAAACGGAAATTCGTTACTAGCCTTGTGAGTCAGTCTCATTCATTTGGCGACACGAGTTCAGGCTTTTGCAGGCTAAACGGTAGATTAATCTTTCGAAGCGCGACAAACGAAAACTTACACATGAGCACTCTGAGTGGTTCAGGTGGTGGGCGTAACAAACAAAATGTTCGTAAATGTATCATCTTGCAATGCAGTCGTACTGAAGTCATGCGAAGCCTTTTGTGATCAATGCCACCCAGACAGTCAGAGGTCCTCCCGAGGTTTTCAAACGCGATAAGTGGGAAGTTTAGGTGTCCATAAAATTGCCGGATACAATGATGGCGACGCATGCGTAGCATGATGATATTACTTCTCTGGTGAAGACCGAAACCCTTCTGCCTGTGAAAGCGCAAGGTTTTAGTACTTACTCAAATCTCCAGGCCGAAAAGCTTACCCGTAATTGCATCATGATGGTGGATAAAGCGTGCGCTGTACCCTATATTATCAAACATCGTGTTATGACTGAAAATTTGGTGAACGTTAAGAACTGAGTACTTTGATCGGCTGACCCGTGACAACGTAGTCCTGCCGGTGCCTGCGAATGTCACTGAAGTCACAGTATGTTACATCCGGTCACAAAGTCCTCAGCTGTCCCAGTCCGAGTCTGTCCGACTTGAACATATAAGTACAGATGATGACGGTCCTAGCCGTTCCTCACTCTCCTACTCGCCGCGACTAGGATCAGCTATATAGTCGTTCCTACGACCAGATTTCTGCTCAGCTCACGTACTTGCAGTCCCGCGAAAGTCCATTCGATTCTCAGAACATTCAACCCAGTCAAAATGTTCGTGAAAATTGCAAAATTTGTCACGAAAAACCTCTTCAATGTCGAGGGTTGGATCTGCGTCGTGTCAGGAAGTGGAACCGGCCTCATGATTGCACAAGCCTTTGCCAATAACGGGGCCAAAGTCTACATCACGTCGTGCCGCCAGGCGTCCTTGAAACACACCATAGCTCATCCTAAGGGGAAACTTATTCCAGTCACTTGTGACGTTACGTCGAAAGACTCGATCAAACATTGAATTGGTCCAGGAGATCGACAAGCAGGAAGATCACATTGACCTACTGGTGAACAACGCTGGCATCAGTGAAGGTAAATCTTTCTCCACTGTCCTAAACTCTGAATGAGCAGCTGGACCATCCAACCAATCTGCGCCATTGTCAAACTCTGCTGAGTCCGAGTCCGAGTCCGAGTCCACTGTCCTTGCTTCAGGTGGAGGAGGCATTCGACGAGCAGGAGGCAAATCTTCAGCGGACCGCTTGCCAAGGATAGTGGATTCCATATCATGCCACTTGACGAGAGGTTTGTATGGTGTTTTTAGTTTCTGTGTAGTCAGTATGAGACTGAGAACTTAACACGCGAAAAAATGTTACTCACATTAGAATCAAAGGAATGGTTTCGGGGAGATTTTGAAGATAGAGATAGTAACTGTAGCTTATTTCTCGTTTCACAATTCATGGTTGCGAATGTTATGCCCTAGCCCTAGTGCAGATACTTTGCGAGATTCACAGATTCACCACCATGGAGACGCCCATCGGATTGGCAAACTCCAAATTCACCCAAATTTACACCCCCAAAATGCCCTTCGAGATTCATACTGGTGAACAACGCTGGCATCAGTGAAGGTAAGAGTGATGCCAAGAAGCGTGATCAGAGTGCCAAGGCTCTCTTAAAGTCAATTGGGAGAACGTTTACAGGACCAACATCAACTGTTTCTTCACGATTACAGCGTTTTTTCCCCTTCTCAACGCGACTTCTTTTGGCAAATCACATACACACTGGCTCTACCATGAATATTACCTCTGTTTTTGATATTAATCGTACCACGCAGCACCCTACAAGTACAGCGTCTCAAAGGCGGCCGCTATTCGCTTAAGTACTTTACTTGCGCAAGAATTCAGGATGGTAGCCGGCCAGGTCGGTGATTAATATCGTACCTGGGATTTTCCGTTCTGGGGTGGCGATTTTGGTTGAAGTTTTGTTAAACTCAGCCCGCGATTGGTGATCTTATCTGATGAACTCACAGATTCCGGTAGGTGAGGACTATGGCGAGAAGAAAGCAATACACAGATCGTCCTGGGCGTGGCGAAGATATTACACAAGCTGCTTTGATGCTGGCCTGCAACCAGTATCCATATGGACAGGTATGCCATTACCCAGTTTGTTATATTCACTCAATACTTGTCTGCAAGACCCTTGCCATTGATGGCAGGTATCTCCTCGAACATCCTTGTTTTACACTCTAGTGCCAAGTTTCCGTCTGCATTCTCCGAGCTTCACATACATCATTATTCTCAAGCATCCTTATACCGAATGCCAAATTGTAGCCCATTAATATTGTATGCAAAGAACTTCAACGACGCAATATTCCACTTGATATAATATTGTAACGAGAAGGGATAATCAAGGCGGTGTAGCAATTAAGTCAAGCACTGCATGTATGTCTTATTGAATAGATAACCTACACTTTCCCCAATATAAAAATGTCGATTAGGCTTATCGATACTGTCAACCTAAATATCCCTCCTCTGATCTTCTCATGGTCTGGGCACGATGGAATCCTCTCGGACGTTGCCATAGTACATTGCTCGCGGCCCCGAGTGGGAATTCTCCAATGCGGCGCCGGCAGTAGCCCACGATGTTAGGTTCAAGTTTGGGATGAGCGACGATAACGTTGGAGTGGCTACTCTGCGAGGATGAGGGCGTGGCATGTCAAGGCCTTCCAGTGGACCAGCCTCGTCTGGCATGCGACTAGGTGGTGACGATGACGCTGAGCCCGACACCGTTTGGCTCGTAACGAAGCTGAAGTTTCTCATCGTCCTGCTAAGGGTTTGCAATACTGATCTGCCGCCGGCGCTGGGTTCAGTAGGTGTACGTTGTTCGACCTGGTTCATGTACGTCGAATGAATGGATGAGTCTGAAAGACCCCGTCTACGCAGGGTACGCTCGAGAAGGGGGCCAGGGATATCATCCGCTTCGCCGTGCTCTGGACTAGTGTTAGCGCCAATCTCGCGTGACAAGTGCGAATTGCTCCGCTTGTACGCGAGGGGTCTGTCGATGGTCGTGGTATCGCTCTGCGAGGGCTCATCTGATTTGAAGAATGTGGAACGGACACGACGAGGAGCACGGGGAAGAACTACCCATAGGTCTGCAGTATCATTTGGGTGTGGTGCACCTGCAAAGATGCCCATGACACTGCGTACATTTGAGGTTGACGTAGGAGGGCGAGGAATGGTATCGACGTGAGACGTCGGGCCAAACGGATGTGCTTCATTTGCAGGATGAGCTGAGAACGTGCTTGTTACAGACTTGCCAATGCCCGCCCCCGAGAATTCGACGTTGACTATGGTAGCAGATGCAGCAAGCGCCGGACCTAGCTTTGGCACCGGACGTGGCTGGTGAATGACTCCACGACCTCGACTTACAGGTCTAGGGGGTAATTGAGAAGGGTGAGTGCTCGACTCGCTTAACGATGAACCGAAGAGCTTCGAGAATGGAGCCATCCAACTTGAGCCCGGTCCAGACGCCTTCCTCTCTCTCTCCATCGCCTCAGCTTTTGCAGGGTCTAGCGCCATCTCACTGACCCTTTGTGCTATAGAAGGCTCTAGAATGACATCATTCAGTGTGACACGTAGCTGCCCAAGTTCCTCAAACACGTCCTTGAAAAACTTGAACAGCCCACGCAGATCCTTCCGGGTGCACATGAGGGTAACCTTCTCATCCTCCAGCAGCATGCGGTACTGTGCACGTAGCTGGGTGATCTCCGAGAGAATACTGCTTACTGTCGCGCGTGATAGGTGCTTAACGTCCGCGCCACGCAGGTGCTGACGTTTTAAGCGGTTTGTCAGAGTCAGCGCATCTGCCTGCGACATACGCAACAAGAGTGACGTCATCCGTTCTAAGAGAGCAGATAGGTGTGAGGGTTGACTATCCTGAAAGGAGGACGTATCCGATCGGCCATCGTGAGCAAAAGATGGCACAAGCTCGTTGAGAGACGACATTGGATGCAACCCTAGATAGCGGTCTGTCTGCACCGCCTTGGAATGCTGATTAGGGTTGGGGAGCAACGAGTGGTGATCAAGGTCGAACTCCTCCACATCCGAGCTGAAGTGAGAAGATGGGTATTGTGGGTACAGATTGGTATACTTCGTTTCTGAGGGAACCATTGACTCTGCTGGAGAAAGTGGGCGCTGGCTGGTCTCGGGTGTGAGCGGCTCCTTAAGATCCGCGTAAGCCATCGGCTGTACGTGTGAGAGAGATACGCTTACAAAGACACTGACGAACTCTTGGCTCTAAGCTTGATGGACGTTTGACAGAGTTTAGTAGCTGAGTCAATCGTGAATGAATAGAAATTTAGATGAGCATATATCATCGTACCGAATCTCGAATATATGATGATGGGCCACTTCCCGTCCGTGAATGTCTCGAAAGCGTATCCACTAATTGTAACACCGTAAGTTGCTGTACACTGGACTTCGATATGAAACGCAGACCTCGTACTGCAGGTGGAAAGTTAACGTTCTCCTCCACTTGTGATCGCAGCACTTGAAGGTCTTCTCTTGACTCGGTAAGAAGCTTATGGAGCTCCTTATTGTCACCCTTAAGGACCTCATTGTCAGAAACCAGTGACTCCAGCACTTTCATGACTTCCGAGTCCTCGGTTATCACCGAGCTAGTGTGCTAAAGGTGGTCATTGGCGATTCGCTACATACGTTTGTACATGACCCTCACCGTGTGATGAAGATCTTCTAAACGAGAGCGAACGTCTTGTAGTAGGGATTCTGACGATTCTAATCGTTGCAAGCGTCGAAGTTCGAGGTCAGCTTGCAATCGACGAACCTCAGCTTGTAGCTTATCTGTGTCACGGGCATATAATCAGTAATCAGTAAAACCTGATTTAGAGACGATGAGAAAACCCTACCAGTACGATCCTTGAGAGCAGCAATACATGCTTCTGAAGTCTTTGCCTTTTGTGCTTCACTGTCTTGTTCTTGCCGAAGGTCATCGTTCTCTTGGAGAGTAGCAGCTAGTCGAGATTCGATCCCTACAGTACGAGCTTGGTATGCAGTCAGGCGCGTCACCGACGTCCGAGCTTCCTCAAGCTCTATGAGTACGGTCTTATGTGATGCCTCAGCTACTTCACAGTTCAATAACGCTTGCGTTAGCCGCTAGAATTGAAGTGTTAATATGACCCATTGTACAAGGAAAACTCTAACCTTCTCCAGGATAGCGTTATCTTTCACCAGCTCGGCCACAGGCGAATTGACTTCGCCATGCATGTCTTGAAGTGACTCATCCACAAGATCATCTGAGGCACCGCGCGGCGTGCGCACATTAGACTGATATAAAATAAGCTACGAGGGCATGTTGCGATCGGAACTTCACGTACCTCGTGTTGACTGACGTATGCCTCATGCCGCTGCAGTAGAGCAGACCCAACCTCTGTGTAGATGCTTGTGGACCACTCGCGTTGGAGACGACAGAAAGACATACCTGCGCTGAGATGCAATCGTTTCTCGAGCTTCTCCTTTGAATCCAGCCAACTCTTCGTCGCTTGACACTCGGTGTTACCACAACAGCAGCATATGTTCTGCTGGGACTCTGAAGACGATACTTGGGAGAGATTCATCAAAGCTAGAGTTAGGTCGTCGATGTTACTATTGGCATGGTAAAGACTGCTTGCGTCCATTGTATTTGGGGTATCCGGACAGTAGTCCGAGGCAGACTCGTTGTGCATGACGAGACTAGTCAGTTCAGTTGAGTGTCGTAAAAGAATGGGTGGTCGTGAAGCTCAACGGGAAAGACAAGAATATATAGTATGTAGTAAGTAATAGGGTAAGGTATGCTCAGAATGGCAACGATATTTAGATGTCGTGGGAATGCTGCAAATCTCAAATTAACTGGCAGGCTGGAGCCTGGAGGGCACGCCAACGCTGCACAGGGTCCAGGTTAAAAGATCGGCGCAAGACGGTACTATGCTGCAAGGGCAGCAAGATCATAATAATATATATTCAATCGTATGTGTACCCTATGTCGCGGAATGACACAGCATTAGCAGTAATAGTGCTAGCAATCAGTGCGTAATTATAAGTATGTGCAGAAGACAGACCTGAAACGATGCAAGTTAGAAGTACAATACATGTTCTATACATGACGTCCATGAAGAAAACGCATCCTGCGGAAAAGATTATTCCAAGCCGACAATTTTTAGAACCAAGTCAGATATCCAAGCAGCAATCTTCGACCAATGAACTCGATTGGGAGCCAAGAACTGGAAGCTCGTTGTGAGGCCATCCATACCCAAGTCTTCCAGTTTTTGCTTCAGGCTTTGCGCTGGATTGCCTTCGTCCACTGTACTGAGTGTGGATACAGACATCGAGTGTATCGATCCCAGGCGCAGTGAGTCCTGTGCATTGCGGAAGATGCTCGTTACAGCTCTAATAATTGCAGCATTGGAGGAATTGGCGAAAGCATCTTTGATCCTGTCCTGCAGGATGTCATAGCTGCCAAAGAACTATCAGCACGAGAGAATTGATCATAAATTAGGACTTGCATAATTGAAACTGATTCGGGGTGTGCAACCCCAATATCTGCCAACAAATTATACAAGATTTCGGTTTCGGCATCATCCCCTTGTGCAGTGGTCAACAATGTGCTCGCAAACGAGACGGTGAGGAGTGCAGATGTGCTATCTGTCAGAGATAGCAATTCGACGGAAACGCGAGGAACGAGAACATTTTGACGAGAGCGAGAGGAGTTAGGTGCTGGCAAAAACTCTTCTCCTTTACAGTCTTGCAGGAGCTGTACGTAAGCCTCGTGTGTCGTGCAGAAGGGAAGCAAGGCGATGAAGTAGCCAAGCGCATCTGGACACAGGCCTGAAGCGGAACCATCCTCAGATTGGTTATCACACCGCGCGGTGACTGACAACAAACTTCGCAGAACGAGTTCGGCAGAGGATCTGAGGTGATTGTGGCGGACACCCTTGAAGATAATGGCGGCGAGTGTGAAGGAAAAACTAGAGTCAAAAGAAAGGCAGAGCAAGTGATCTAGTTGGCAGACAGTGTCTTCTAATGAAACCCGACCGTCCAGTAGCACGTTGGGTATCGAACTGCCCTGAAAGGCACCGTGCTTTTCCAGCGTCTCAACTGTCGCGCGCATGAGCTCAGCAGCGTCTGAATAAAACGCAGTGTAGCTGGATTGCAGCAAAGCGACAGCCAACCAGAAAATCTGGCAGAGATACCGGGAA